AGAAATTCCAATGAACATTTCTAGACGGTGCCCATAAGTAACACTAGATGTCACCTCTACTACAAAGCAGATGGTACTTGTCAGGTCCAAAGGAAACTCCATTTCTCCAAACTCCAAAAGGCAGAGGGGACATACAGTTACTGGTGGCCTCTAGGCCGCCCAGCACCACAAGTATCACAAGTCCCTATTACACATTTCAAAGCCCATGAGAGCTCACATTCTAGCTCTTCTCACCTCCTCCCCTACCCTAAACTGCCACAGCTCATAGGCTTCCTTTCCCGCAGCAACTCATTCTCCTTATAACCCAGCTATTTTGGCTATGCTTGCTCTGTGTGTCTCTCTCTCTCCCTTTGTCTCCTCTGACTCTCCCACAGTTTCCTCTGTGTTTGTCTTGCCTTACTCTCCCTCTCCCTGTGTCCCCATACCCCTCCCACCCAGTGTGCCCCAAACCCCCCCCCCCTATGTCCCCATACCCCTCCCCTGCTCTGGCTTCTCTCATGGCCAAGTCTCCTCTGCTGACCATGTTCAGTCTACTTCTTTCTCTCTGTGTTCTGGACTGTTCTGGATTCTTCGAAATGCCTCTGGCTCTGGATCTGTCTCTCTGTCTCTCTCTGTCACAAAACACTGTTTGTTAGAACAAAAACTTCAGGTCTGGTAGGCTGCAGCAGCTGAAATAGGACCAGGTTGAAACACTGTTTAAAATAAAAAGTCAACATTGTGCACTAAATTTACGAGGCATTGTGAAGTCTGTTAGGACAGTCCCACAAAGAACAAGGAGTTTTAAGTAAACTCTTATCCTATGAATTTACAACTGTGAGGGAAATTTTGTTTGAACCTGTTACATATGGGAACAAAGAGCTTTCTACCTCTCTGAGTCCTTGCTAAACTGTTACTGGCTCTAAGAAAGAAGTCTTTAATGGGACAAGAAAGAGAGAAGGCATATGGATGGTATTCTAAGAACTCACTTGATTAGCATAGAATTTGCAATGAATAATGTATATAGCGATGATTAATCCTGACTCCCTAAATGAAAACCACACTCAGGCAGTATACTCATGGAAGGACTTGCACACTAAGACTACAAGACAGTGATAAAAAAATGCATTCTTGCATAGGAAGACGCTATAAGGACCAACTCTGACTACAATTTGTTAGAACCTAGAGGCATTGGGGAAGACAATAACATTAATTATAAAGGTCTATTCATGTCTCAGAAAGCTAAAGCTACATCCAGGTGGATACTGAATATCTTCAGAACGTATTCCAGAGATATTGATGTTTCAGAATTAAAGGAAGTGCCACAGATTTGAGTCCTAAACTTTGAATCTACTAAGAAGCAAACAAAGGCGACTCGAATCAGAACCTTACACGGCCATTGTGCCCCAGCTCCTATCTCGGCAAGTCAGAAGCCCTAGAAAATCTGGGAGGAGCTTCCCAGTTTCAAATCCTGCGGTCAGTAGTTTGATGTGAATGAAATACACCCTCATCCAGCTAGCAGACACCTAGCTGCCTAGCAGTACCAAGTGCTTGCTGTATGTGTGTCAGGAGCTGCTCATGTTTCTGGGGATGCAATGTTTTTTTATCACTCCTTAGAAATATGTTTGTACAATTCTTTCAGTGTTAGAAGAAATGAAGAGCAGAGAGAAAACCACTGAGGTGATATGATTTACAAGTGGCCAAGCTAGTGCCAGCTTGTGCCAATGTAGGGCTTTCTGCAGTGTGTCATACTGCCTTTCTTCTGCAAGCGTCTCAAACGGAACTGTGGCTATCTCTAACACGCTACCCTGCAATCTCACCAGATTTTTTTTAAATTTACATTTTCCGAGTTGACACAACAGGCAAATTAGGATATACTTGCAATTAAGGATATTTATTTTAAAAACTAACTTTTAAATTCTCAGCCCCAAAAGAAAATGAGACTCTAATTTCTTATATAAATGCAAAATTTTAGATTGCCTTAATTATAGTTAAAAATGTAACTGCAAACAAACGTCAAGCCAGAATGCCAAAACAACAGCTTTGAGTCCCATTTCACAAGTTGTTCTTTTAGAGATGTCTTCACATTGTCAATCAAAGAGATAATTTTGATTTTGCCACAACTCCTGCCTCCATTAAAAACAGCAAGTGTGCAATGGCATAAGAAGCTGGGCAAGTATGCTGTTCTCAAAGCTGTTGATGAGTAGGAAACCAGAGAAGATAGTGAGTCTGAGAAGAAAATTTTGTTCTATTATTGAAGATAGTATTGAGCCCTTCATTTGGTAGTGCTATTCTCTGATAATGATATCAAAATGGAATCATCCCAAGGATTGTTACATATCATGAATAAACCAGATAATATTGAATTCAACAGATGTTTGCTGAGTATCTACATAGTCACAACAGACTATAAAAATGAGGCTTCAAGGAGCTAGTGCTCAAAACAAACAAACAAACAAACAAACAAACAAACAAAAAACTCCAGAGTGTCTGTAACCTACAAGGCACACTGCTACATCTTTAGCATCCACAGGAAGATAGATGGTATTAGTATGCCCAGTTTAGACATAAGGAAATAGGTTAATATGGTTGGGTTGCCCAAGCTTGACAGTGGCCAAGCTGGGATGCAAATCTATGTTTGTTTAACTCAAAAGCCTACAAAGTACAGGGCCCTTGCTTCACCACTGGATTCCTTATTGGTGATTGAGGCAGGGTCATACTACGTAGCCTTGGCTGGCCTGGTCTTGCTTCAAACTTGCAGTGATCCTCCTGCCTCAGCCTCCTCCATGATGGGATTACAGGTGTGTACCACCATGGGCAGCAATGAGTCTTTTCAGTGTATCTAATACTAAATATGTTTAATTATTTCCCATTGCTTCTAAGTTGTATTGATTTGATCCTGAGGGGAGAATGTTCATCACATCAATGATAATGTACATCATGTGTACTTAGACTGATCCTCAAAGAACTCCAGAAACACTTAGAAGATGGAAGAGGCTCAGTGCCCCCAAGGCAGACAGAGTTCATGTAGCCTTGCTCCAGCATCATCAAAAATAGGAATCCTAGATAGTACGTATTGTTCAAATGACCAAGGTTCTAAACCAAAGACTTCTGAGGTTTTCATTTATTACAATGTATCTTTTTGAAGATTGTAATTATGTATGTTCTCTATAGAATATATAACTATTTTCAGAAGGTTGGCAATCAGTTGGCCACTTGTTGTTAATCCAGATTACATAGACATACAGGACATTTCTGAAGTGATTGATGTGCCTAGGGCCATCATTATACATTTCTAACATAGTTCTAATATATACTATAAGGTATGTGTAAATTATAGTGATCTTGAAGTTTCTATGTGCATTCGGAAGTCTCCTTTATGGTTATGCATGCTCAATCTTCCAGTGGGTAGTCCTTTAAAAAGCCTGGCTTTTCTAAATTTCTTGCTTATTAGATTGCAGCTTCTAACATGCTATCTGTTGTTATATGTGGCATATGACCTCCGGATACACTATGTAATCGTGAAGTGAAGAAGAAAAGAGGTTGATGAAGAGTCAGGTACAAAGACAACATTGTTGCAAGAATCAGGTTACTGATATCTCAAAGTGAGGAAGAAATGTGGGTGACATTAGCTCTGCAGTTGTTACTTAAGGAGAAGTAGAAATAAAATCAGCCCACGAAACACAGAGACAAGCCGTGTTTCTTAGAGAGCTTTGAAGATCTACCAGCCTGCAGTACAAATAGATGACTACCACAGTCCACCACTGTTTTTGAGTGAAAGAATTCTGAGCAACAAACTCAATTATGATATGCCTGCTATCTACTGCTGCAGCCCTACCTTAAAATTAGACCAGTATACCTGTGTACTATTGATTCAGTAACAAATAACCATATATTTAGTGGCTAAGGAACCTAAGAAAACAGCTATAATTATGAAGTAGACCTAAAATTTTATATATACATATGCACACACATATGTATAAGATTTGTAAATGGTACTCATAAGGCTAACAAAAGCTTTTAATGAAAATAAATTGCTAGAAGAGGGCTAGCAAGATGGCTGGTAAAGGCCTGGCAATCTGAACTCGCCCACCGAACCTGCATAAGGGTAGAAGGAGAGAGCCAGTATCACAAAGTTGTCCTTGGACCTCTACACATATACTGTGGTGTGTGCACCAACACACACACATACACACACCCAAAAGCAATAAATAAAATTTCTTTTAAATTATATAATAACAAATAGCCAATCAACCATCAACTTCCTATGTACAAAGAATAATAAAAAGTAAAAATCAGTCCCATTGACACCACCTTCAGATCGCCAGGCCTTTACTAACCATCTTGCTGGCCCTCTTCTGTCTGTACAAGGCTTGTATTATTCTAGAATAACAATAATTAGATCAATACATATAAAAATAATATTTTCTTTGACCCTATTTTAAAAAATCAACAGGGAAAAATCAAATTTTATGCTATATGTTATATGTTAGATATACAATTAAAACAAAAGAAAAAGTGGAAAGAAAGCAGAGCTGAAATGTTATTACAGGAAATGCTAATTCAAAGGTAAATGATCAGAACAAAGCATCCTGAGAATCTGGGCCTGAATGCTTTCAGTCCCATTGACACTGCATTTACAGAACCTCAGAAAGACAGTTAAAGAGGAGCCAATAAAAAGGAAGGGTGGTAAAAAGCCAGCAACCATTTTTATGTTAAAAACAGAATCCACCAATGTTGGTTTGGGTAAGGTTATAAATATTCACAAATGATCAAACGTTGAGTAAAACTCTGAGAGCCATGCAACCCGAACGCCGCCATCGGGGAGGCTTCATACAGCAGTCAATCAGGCTGAGACTCAGCTTGACCACTTGGAAGTGAGGTAATGAAGTTCAGTAGACTTAGTGTGAAATGTGTCTTAGTCCTGACTTTAATGTTACTGTAACATCCACGTTGGTGTTTTCAATATATAGTGAATGCTTACTTAAAGATAACATTTTTTAAGGAATTATTCTTGACTGCACCTTTCATTTTTCAGTGCTAAAATTTCTTCCTGTGTCTGAAGCAGGAGAGCTTTGGTCTTCTCTAGTTCATTTTCTGCAAGGTTGATTCTTCGTTTTACATCTTCCTCTTGTCTTTCTTTTGTAGTTAGCTCTTCCTGTACGGTTTTATATAGTTGTTGACAAGTAATTAAAGAGTCTTCTTTTTCTTTAAGTAGCCTTTTGTGCCTAAAAGAAATAAAACATAAAATATCTCAAACATGCATTAGATACTATGATTTTATAGTTATAGTATGATTTTATATTTTGTAAAACTTTCATTTGAACTTTGATCATAATATAACTTTTAAAAAAAGATGTTAAGAACATGGATAATTCTATGATGCTAATTTTTCCCCATTGTGATTACTGATCTTCATTGCCAACTCGGCTGGACTGAGGCTCACCTGGATTCTGCATGTGCCTATGAGAGTGTTTCTAAAAGGTTACAACAAGGAGGGAAGATACATAGAGAACTCTATGAACATAGGCAACACCATTTCATGGCCAGGGGTCCAGGCTGAATGAAAAAACAAAATCAAAAAAGGAATCTGGATTCCATAATTCACTGCTCGATTTCGAGATTGTGTAAGACGTAACTAGTTGCCTTATGCTGTTACTACCATGTCTTCCCTGTCATGATGAGCTGTGGTCTTCTTAAAAATGAGCTAAAACAAACCTTTGCATCCTTAAGTTACCTTTTTTAAGGTGTGATGTGTAATGTGGTACTGTAGCATTTGGTGGGTTGTGAGTTGCTTTGTTAGATCTTACTTTGCTACAGTTCTGTTCCTTCCCTTTGGAATGGGAATGCTTACTCTGTTCATGATGAGAAAAGGAACAGAAAATTGGATTCAGAGAGTGAGATAAACTAAGCATGTGTGTCTTAGGCCTTGGGGACCCGTTTGTGGAAAGAATGTGAAAGAGTTTGGAAGTTGGTGCAAGAGAAGCTTGTGAGTGCTGTAAGCAGGATGCAATGGACCATTTCAGTAGAAAATAAAACTCTCAAAATGCTGAGAGAAATGCAGACGGTGGAACCCTGGATCGTGAGATCTCAGAGAAGAACAGGGAATCTTTTGAGCCATTCATGTAATGTTCTGGAAAAGAACATGGTTCCCCTCATGTCCAGAGAACTTGAATGAGACCAGATTCAAAACCAAAGGACTCATTTGGTTGAGGAAATGTGAGGGCAGAAGAAGCGTCAGGCTGTGCCATGGTCACTGCTCACTGTGACAAGGAGTGACAAGTCAAGCAGAATGATAGGGAAAATGTGCGCTTTTGTGACCGGCTGTCAGTTTAAAGTTGCTGACAAGGCAAGGGCAGACACAACAGTTGTAATTGTTAGAGATTCAGACCATTCAAGACAAGCCTCAAACTACATAGTCATGGGAAAATGGAACCAGTGCCCCCACCACCACCACCACCACATCAAAGGTTTCAACTGGTGGAAATGCATACTCACTTAGAAGAGAGGCTTGACTGAAAAGGCCCATGAAGAAAACAAAAACAGCCCAGTTTGAAGACAAAAGCTTTGGAAAGCACTTTCTCAGATTCCGACATGTGATAAAGAGAGTTGGTGGCAGAACTAGGCAGTGCCATCTACTTGGTACTGGGCTTACAGGCATGCAAAATACAAGGGCTCTCAGTTGCTTTTGCCACCGCAAAGAAAATATGGTTTCAATTCAGTTATTAAAGTGTTTATTAAATTTTTTCAGTATATACCTTGACTCAGAGATAATGGACTCAAACTTCAGTTTTCTAAGTTCTCTTTCACAGTTATCAGCATCGTTAGATCTTTTCCTAAGGCAAAAGTATTTTGAAATAGTTAAAATGCATTATTTCAAAATAAAGTATTTTTCCATATCTTAAAATAGTCACATTGTTATTATTTAAAGATGCACTCAGCCAAGTCAACACCTGCTCAGTGGGTCAATTTAACTAAGAAGGGTGCACTCTGCACATTATCAAACAAACCCCACAACGAACAAGCGAGGTTGTTTCTCACATTATTTTAAGCCTAGGGACAGTCTCTGTAAGAACCATGTAAGGAAATTAAAACTCTGGCAGAAAATGCTAGTCTTTCTGGCTCTAAGAACCAGAGACAAAGGTTTCAAGCAACCTCAACTGGTGAGAAGAGAAGGGTTAAACCTGACTAGGACATACCTTAGGGAACCCCAGGTATGAGCTCTGCTGGTTTCCAAACTTCAAGTGCACAAGGCAGACTCCACACAGCACCAGTGAACATAGAATCACTGGAGGGAGATGGAGCTGCTACCCTGGAGACAATCCACAGGGTAAGACGGACTCTGTTACTTGCCTGTATCATGATACCACCCTTGTCATTAGGTTTTTTTGTTTTGTTTTGTTTTTGTCAACTTGGCACAAGCTGAGATCATCTGGGAAGAAGAAATTTCAACTGAAGAAACACTCCCGTCAGATTGACATGTGGCATTTCTTGATTAATATTAATGTGAGAAGGCATAGTCCACTGTGGGTGGTGCCACTCCTTAGTAGATAGTCCTGAGTTGTGGAAGGAAGCAAGCTGAGCAAGCCAGGGGGAGCAAGCCAATTAGCAGCATTCCTCCATGGTCTCTGTGTCAATTCCTGCTTCTAGGTTCCTGCCCTGATTTCCTGCCCTGACTGTTTTATAACAGCTGTATGCAATAGGTTCAAATAAACCCTTTCCTCCACAAGTCACTTTTGATCATGGTGTTTATCACAGCAATTGAAAGTAAACTAGGACACTACTTGAGATCAGACTATGTAACAACTAGTGATATAGTACAGCAGAATGTCACCAGGTCACTTCCTGCCTGCCAGACAAAAAAATTCTCACAAGTCATCACAGAGGGACTGGGAACTCAGAACATTAACAGTTATATGCTAATAAGAGCAAAAGCTCTAATCCCAGCGTGTCCAGCTGTGTGAAAGGGCATGCTAGAGCTTCACACATCAGTACCTGTGATAGTTAGAAGCCTACTGTGGTACAGACTGTTAGGTGAGGAGTGGTAGCTACTAATCAAGTATAAGCATATCACCGGGGTCCAGAGATTAGAAAGTGTGTTTTCAGTGGAACCATTTTAGACATACAGTGGTCCCCACTCCATGTCTGTGGCTTTGTGTTCTGAAGTTCCTGTTACCATACCACCAAGGGCAGTCATCACTTTGCCCCGTGTGCTCACATTATTGATGCTGTTTTGGTCCTGTTCAGCAATCAGATCTACTGCTGTTTAACACGGTGTCTGCTTTTATGCAATCTTTACATAGCAGCCCAGGACCATAGTACAATGTCACTTACCATACTTCGTCAGGTAGACTTTGTAAGTATCTCATAAGATAGCAAATGCAGTATAATAGGTTACTTAAGAGAGCTTATTCCTATAACTTTCATTGCATTATGACTATCTTACCCTGTGCTTAATATATAGATTAAACTTTGTCATGAGCACACGGGTGTGGTGGACTGAGAATGCCCCCCATAGGCTTAGATGTCTGAATACATGGTCCCTAGTTGATGGAATTGTTTGGGAGGGATTGGGAGATACAGTCTTGTTGAAGGAGGTATGTCTCTAGGGTGGGGCAGGGTGGACTTTGAGATCTCAAAAGGCTACTGCTATTCCTAGTGTGCCCTTTCTCTGCTCCTGCTTGTGGATCAAGATGTGCGCTCTCACCTGTTTCTGCAGTCATGCTTTTGTTCCACCATCATGGACTCCAACTCTCTGAGACTGTAAGCCCCAATTAAATGGTTTCTTTCATAAACTGCCTTAGTCATAATCTTTTAACACAATAGAAAAGTAAAGAATGTACAGGGAAAACCTATGTGTGTAGGGTTTAATATTAACTGCAGTGGTTTGGGACTGAGGGTTTTTTTGTTTCTTTGTTTGTTTTTGAGAGACAGGGTGCACTACATAGTTCTGGCTGTCCTGGAATTCACTATGTAGACAAGTTTGGCCTAGAGCTCACAGAGATCCATGTGCCTCTGTTTTCTGTGTGCTGTGATTAAAAGAATATGTTACTACATCTTGCTAGTCACTGAGTCTTGAAGCATAGCCCTTGTGGATAAGGGGTAGACAACTACTATATTAATTACTAATTGAGAAATTCCAAAATATTTAAATGAATTTGTTCCTTTTACTGTATTCATAAAAATAAACACAATCCTCAGGAGATACATAAGCATACTGCACAAACCCCACTCTCATTCCTGTGTATTCTTGGCAGCTAACTGTGAATAATTGTGTCAATTATTTATTCAGTTCATTTAAACCCATGTCAAGTGTGTGCATTCATATCTAATATGAAAGAGATTATTTTTATGGTCACATGTTTTATCCCCCAACTTCTAATAGCTTGTTTTTTGTAATAGTCATTTTTTTCTTTTATAGATACAATTCTGGATATACTTAGTGGATATCAATTTTATTAGCTTAAATGTCTTCTGTAGCTAATGTGAATTTCTTAAGTCTCACTGCATCCATTCCTAGCCACTTTGAGGAGTGGAATAGGGCTTAGAATAGTTTTTGTCATATTCTTAGTAAGTTTTTGTTGTGTTCATGTTGGCTTTCCGATTCTCTGCCTGCCTGCTTTCCTGTTTATTTTTGGAGGTGTGGTGAGGTGCAGAGTCTGGTACCTGCTGTGTGATGTGAGCCTTGTCTTGAGCTATGAATCCCTACATGAATTGCTTTAGTCTGAGCAGGTAGGGAAGCCTCTGTAAACCCTAGCTTGACTGACTGGAAGGTTTTGATGATGGACCATCTGGCTTAAGTGTTCCAAATGTGATTCCTCAGAGGGACTTTCCTTATATAACCATCAGAATATCCAGAGTATATGATTACCCCAAATTGTATACCAAAACAGATCCTGGCATGGGAGTATCCAGACTAGGTGTTTGGTTTTGTTTGTTTGTTTGTTTGTTTTTTGTTTTTACCAACTCCTCAGGATTCACTAGACCTCATGGCCTTGACTTCCAAGACTAGATAAAAAGCTTGCCTACTGTAGTCTACCACTGACAGTACATGACTGGCTTTCTTGTTCATGGCTCAATAAAGTCAACACTTTTACTGTCCTTTCTATGTATCAGCTTTCAAAAGTTCCTGAAAAGTACTCATCTATGGTAGTTGTTCTTGTCTTATTTACCTGTCTTTATCCTAATATGTACATATACACACTCAGTATATCTATATCTATTTTATCTTGATATATGTGTGCATAGTTAATATTTATAGAAGCATCAAAACCCTTGATAATATTGCTGATAAAATATAAACATAATGCAAATATATTTCACATTGTCATAGAAATATATTAAAAATAATGCTTAGGATCTTATGCATGACAGATAATTCTTTACCACTGTGCATTAACTTCAGCCTTTTTTCTAATTTTCATTTTGAGACACAGTCTTTCTAAGTTGTTCAGGCTGGTCTTAAACACACTCTGTAGTCCATTGTATACCGATTTCCTTTCAAATAAAACATTCCATCTTGAAAGGAAGTTCCTTAAAACCCAGGATGTTCTAAAGGGAAGTGAAATATTCCATCCTGTGGGGAAACTAGTTAAGCTCAGGAAGTAAACAACTCAAAAAACTTCAGGAAGTCCCTGAAACTGACCAGATTCACTAGTACTTTCCCCAAGTATATATAAACCATAAGGATGGAAAGACACTCTCAGAAACGCTGAGCTACATGGAAAAGGCAGATCAACTGTGATGGCTATTCTTAGTTGCCAACTTGACTACATCTGGAATTAACTAAAATCTAAAAATGGGAGCAAACCTGTGAGGGATTTTTGTTTAATTTGAAGTAGGTAGATTCACTTTTAATCCATATCTTTGAGGTAGGAAACCACAGGCCTTTAATCTGGATCTTGAGTCACCTTTAATCTGAGCCATACCTTCTGCTGATAGCCTTTGTAAGGACATGAAAGAAAGCCTTTGATATTTGCTTGCTTGTCCTTGTCTTGCTACCAAGTCCATTGTTTCACTGGCATCAGAGCTTACTTCTTGAGGATGCCAAATATACTGAAGACCAGCTGGGACAGTCAGTCTTGTGGACTGAGGAACTACTGGATTCTTGGACTTTCTGTTCATAGCCAGCCATTATTGGATTAGCTAGACCTTAGCCACTAAGTCAATCTAATAAATATAATCATTTATGTATATAGATATTTAGAGAGATTTATTACATAAGTTCTACTACTCTAGAGAACCCTGACTAATACATCAGCTAAGCTTTCTGAAAGAAGCAGAAACAGCCAAGCTTCTTGGAAGAGCAGAGACCAACTAAGCCACCTGAACAAGGCTCAGATAACTAAGCTACCTTAAAAAGGTTCAGACCAACTAAACTACCTGGAAAAGACTCTCCAACCTGTTGCCTACAGGCTGTGCTTTTCTAGCTTTTCTAGCTTTTGTGAGCTGCCACTCTTGCAGGGAGGGAGGGAGATTTTTGGTGCTGTAGTTGTCTTTTGAGTCATTTTTGCTCCCAAAAGTAATCTCAAGAAACTCATTGTTTCACCAATTAGATGAGGATGATATCCATACTTTGGTCTATAGTAAGTTCCCTATCTGGAGTGAGAAGATGTTTATTCATGTCTCTCCAGAAATAGGGTCATACAATGCCCAGGCAGGCTTCGAACTTGTGCTTATCCTGCCTTAGTCTCCTGAGTAGCTAGGATTGTAGGCCTGCACTGACTTCTTAGCTTTCATTATTTTGGAGTGGTCCTTCCCTAATTATGTAGATAGTATGACAAAGATGGAGTTTGTAGAAAGTTTCAAACCTGACTTTCAGTGCATGGTTAATGACCTAGCACTCAACAAACACTTCTGCATTCTTTGTGACATTCATTGTAGCTTTCTTCCTTATCTCAGAATCTCAGTTATCAGTTATCACCCAAGGAGGTACATACAGCTAGTCAAAGCTCATTTTTCCATTCCAATTTCTCTTGCTAGTAGTTCACTTAACAGAGAGGATGTAATGAACTCCAGACAGATAGAGAGAGGGAGTAGGCTATTTGGTGGTTTGGGGAATTTTCTATTACCACTAGATAGCCTCATTTGGACATAGTATTCTGAGCTACAGCCACGTTCTAGGCACAAGGAACCTTGAACTAGTTGAAGCCCATGCTGAAGGCAACAGGAAGGAATCAATGGTGTGGTAGTTTGAATGAAAATGGTCCCCATAGACTCGCAGGGAGTGGCACTATTGGGGGTGTGGCTTTTTTGAGTCACTGGGGGCGGATTTCAGGGTTTCAGAAGCCCAAGGCAGGCCCAGTGTCTTCCTCTTTTCCTTTGCCTGCTGATCCTGATCTAGACCTCTCAGCACCATGTCTGCCTATGTGCCACCATGCTTCTCTTAATGATGATCAATACTGGACTAAAGCTCTAAAGTGTAAACCTGCCCCAATTAAATGTTCTCATTTAGAAGAGTTGCTGTCTCTTTTAAGTGGCTCTTTTACAACCCATGTTTTCTAAAAGTGGGCACTCGCTCCAAGTTTTCATTTAAGCAGTTCTTCCTTGGTTAGGAAGCAGCACTTCTGTAAGCTGATACAACAGCACAGTATTCCTGAAATCCTAGGGCAATTCCCTTGTGAGCAGTTAGTGTGACGGACTGTCAGGAGGAGGCACGTTTCCTCCTCAGCCCTGCTCTGCCTTGACTTCTATCGTTTCTTAGTACTCAGGTTACAAATATCATAAAAAGTACAGTTAGCAAAACAGCACAAGGCGTATGTTACTGCTAAATAAAATAGCTCCTTGAAATCTCAGTTTGTGTATCGACCAATGAGCTTTATTCTTGTTCTTCCCTTTTGCATCTGTCGTACTTTTCCAAGAGCCTACCTATAAACGTCATTTTGGCGTGATCACAAATTCAATGTAAGCTTAGTCAGGTGAACCTCTTCACTTCTCAAATTTATTTTTTAATATTTTATTTTAAATTGTGTGTGTGTGTGTCTGCAGGTGAGTATAGGTGCTCACAGAGGCCAGAGGACTTAGATTCCCCTGGAGCTAGAGGTGCAGCATATCCAGAGCTGCTTGATGTGAGTGCTGGGAGTCAAATCTGGGTTCTCTGAAAGAGCAGCAACTCTCCAATCCTCCTCCCGCTACCACTTCCTGAGCTCCAGGGAGCAAGGGTTGGGTCAGCAAGGAAATGGCTCAGAGGAAAAGGTACATGTCTCCAACCCCGAGGATCTGAGTTCAAGCCCTTGCACATGAATGATGGAGGGAGGGGACTGACTGAGTCTCAGAAGCTGGTCTCTGATGTCTGTATGTATGCCTTGCTGTGCTTGGAATCCATGCACACGCACACGCACTAACAGTAACAATACTAACGATAATAACAAAACAAACAAATGTCACACGGTAGCTGTGGTCTAATGAGGCTTCTGTCTCCACAAGACTTCCACAAGGACACAGTCCTCTGATAGTATAGACAGAACAGGGACCGCTGTCTTGTTTCTTGTTCATGTTTTTTTATCTTGCAGAAACTTACTTCTTGTGCCTAGGGAAGAAAAGCACCGAGAATCTCCTGCTTTCTCATCCCTTTACCCCAGCATCCTACCCAGGTAACCAAACTTCTGGCCTTACTGGACTATTAACTTATTGTTTTCCTATAACAAAGCACTTGCTACAAATAATCTAACTATATACTAATTTCATTAGGCATTTCTGGAATTTGCTCCTTTTTATGTTGTTCAATATTTGATTAAACACATTGTTCTTAGGCACAGCCATGGTCAACACAAACATTTGGTTGCTAAGCATCCTAATATTGATATTTATGAGGCTGAGCCTTGTGGCTACAGGAACCGAAACCAGACTCCCAGATTATACATCAAGGAGTGAAATGGTGTATTTTTTCAAAGCTCATGTGCATTTTATTTTAGCATTATAATTATAGATATACCATGTTTACATATGATCTTTCAAATTCCTGAAATAAATTATTTTTTAAAGCAAACATTGCCTAGGCAGTTTTTATATGTATATATTACCTCTCTCTCTCTCTCTCTCTCTCTCTCTCTCTCTCTCTCTCTGTCTCTGTCTCTCTCTCTCTCTTTCTCTCTGTCTCTCTCTCTGTCTCTCTCTTTCTGTAAGGTGCATGCCTGTGCGTGTGTGTATGTTTGTGTATGTATATGTAGGCATGTGTGCCTCATGGTGTACATGTGAAGGTCCTTGTCTTCTACCACGTTTGAAATAGCATCTCTGTTGCTTTATATTCACATATGTCAGGCTGGCTATGGATTCTAAAGGTTCTCCTGCCTCTGCCTCCCATCTCATCACAGAAACACTAAGGTTATAGGCAGGTGCTGCATGCCTGGCTCTAAGTGGGCCCTGGCTACTCAAAACACAGGATTTTACACAGTAAGTGCTTGATCCACTGGGCCACTTTCTCACCTCTGGACATTTTATAAGGTCACTTTCTTATCATTTGATTTCCAGTACTTCTTCCTCATTATCATAAAACATAGTCAACATTTCAAAAGCACTGTTTTGAACTTGAAATTAGATATTTTAAGAAACAACAATTCAGAAAATTTAAATGAAACATTGTAGACAGTAAAGAAATGAATATAAGAAAAACAATGAGAGAATTCCTTCATTTGAACATCAAGAGAAATCAGTGATACATAGCTAGGTAACCTCTACTTGATTCCAGCCTAGAGGTCAAGAAACAACCCATAGGTTCTTTCCTGCGGGGAACAGAAACACTTTACTGAGTTAAAAGAGTAACAGGTCCATCAATAATCATTTCGGGCTGCAACAGAGCCACAAGAAGCCACAGCAGACCGTCACCTACAACTGAACCATTGCCCAAAGGTGACACCCTGGGGTCTTTCCAAAGTCTTAGTTTTGTGACACATCAATGGGCAAGCCATTCTTACAGCTGTTTCGTGTTACACCTTACATGAGCATCTCTTTACAGTTGTCCAGCTCCTTTGCTGTCTTCTGATGTCTCAACCCAAGTGCCTCTACTTGACACTGTAAATCTGAAACGATACAGCATGGTCATTAGTATACTGTGGGTAGCAGTAGTTTTTAGCTACACTGCTTTTGGAAGGAATGGGGAATTGCCATGACTCAGGGGAGAAGGATGGGACATAAGAGCTGCAGGAGAAAAAAACAACTACTCATGTAAGATTGGGATTTCCCCATTAGACCTAGGGTAGCAGGAGAAGGTTTAGGAGTCTCAGGAGTACCAGAGGGGAACACTTGCTAGCAAGGGAAGGTTTAGGAGTGCCCAACCTTTGAACTAGCCACAGCATGTCAAAAATTAACTGACTTGTGTTGGTGTGTGTGTCTTTCATTCATGAATTCAGATAGCTCCTGGGCACCACCATGTGACCAGCTGGGAACCAAAGCAGTGTAGCTAAAAACTACCACTGCACTAGTGTCTAGGCGCTTTTATAAACTCAACCAAACCCCTCTGAAGTTTCCCTTTAGCTTCCTAAGAGCAAACAGGTGTTCCTTACACTTTGCCTGTATCATTCTATGCAACATGCCCGTGGCCCTCACGACAACCCACACAACTGGCCTTTTCTCCCTTCGCTTGTCAGGCTTATTTGCAAGCTCCTAACAGGTTAACTTTTCTAGTGTTTTCAAAAAAAATTTATGTTGCTGGCACACTCTGTACATTTCTGATCATGTGGCTCATTTCTTAAAATGTTTGGCTGTCTGAGCTTCTGTTCCCAAACCTACTGAGGCTTCTGGATAGAAATGAAAGACAAATCATGTGCCAGGCTCATGGTTGACAGTTTAACTCTGAGTAGCATCTAAAAGGCATTTTAATAACTTCAAAAGGCAAGAAAACACTGCGTGGGCAACTGGTCTTCACACAGTCTTCAACTAGGAAATTTAGGGAGTATTTGAGGAGGATTATTCCAAAAGCCATGTGTAGTATGTGTTGAGTCTTGGCTTATCTCGGTTCTGCCAGTAGGCTGTTGTGAGAATTGTGGTCTGAACCTTGATTCCACCTAACTCCCTGGGAGCATTTAAGGCACAAAAGGAAACTACATAAATGGACTAACCAGTTTATACAGAAAAAGTCATTCAAAACAAGGGAATTATCAAATTTTTATATTCTAGCTACCTCAAACACTTTAATATCCTGCTTTTAATAGTAAATTTAAAATTTTTTAATGAAGCCATACACATGCACCAAAGTTCTATGTAAATCTTTTAACATGCTTTCCTGTCTGTCTGTCTGTCTGTCTGTCTATCTATCTATCTATCTATCTATCTGATGAGCTGGTTTTCCAAATCAGAAAGCAAATTTACCTTAAACAAATGTTCCTATAAGTATTTTCTAGGTATTTATATAAAAACACACACATATATATATATCATGTTTTTAGGTACTTTATTTTTAATTATTTCAACAAACATGTAAAATTTTGTGTCATGTATGTCATGCTTTGAAACATAACTCAAGAGGCAGAGGCAGAGGCAGGTGGATTTCTGAGTTTGAGGCCAGCCTGGTCTACAGAGTGAGTTCCAGGACAGCCAGGGCTACACAGAGAAACCCTGTCTCGAAAAAACAAAAACAAAAAAAAACAAAACAAAAAAACAACCATAACTCAAGCTTATTAACATACACCCTATACCAATATGCTTCAAATTTACTCTTAAAAATTTTAAAATAATTCTATTGACAATAATCATCATGTTGTACAACAGAGTTATTAAACTTCACCACCTATCTAAGTGAGATGCTTGTGTTCTTTGACCAACATCTCCCCACATGCATTATTTAACTTTTTTCCTTGAAAATGTCAGACTGGTTCCAATTGTCTCATTTTTCAGATGAAGAGAAAAAAAATCAGACTCTCTCTGAATGCATTTTTCCATTCTTGAAATCAGGAAATCAGCCAGCCAGCCAGCAGGCAATCTTTCTGAAAATGTTTAAGTCTGCTGAGGGAAAGGACCCTCCAAACAAGATCCAACTATGGTCGCACTAATAATTTTTTCAGGGTACACCTTGTCCCATTAACAAAAGAGAAAATAATATGAAGTATAGTTTTTAGTAAAAATCTTTCAAAACCCAGAAACCTTATTTTGAATGTTCTGTACCATGTCATTGTGTAATTAAGCACAGTCGGCTGTAGACAGGCTGCTGGCAGGTCTGACGCACTCTGAGGAGGGAAGAGCTTTGTTCACTGGTGGGATGCTATGCCCCAGGGCTGAGCATGGTACTTGCCTCAGAAGAGGGAGGAACTGGTGCTCACTGGTGGTTGCCATGCTCACTCTGCCTTTCCTCATTTGTGGTCATAGTTACCAAGAAGAGGAAGTCGGTATTTTGATTATTGTAAGTGGAAAGAGGAAAGATGAAAGTAAGTTCATTCAGCAAGCTGGCAAGTGACCCAGTGACTCAGACTGAGTTGTTCTACCTGATCTAGGTTTTCCTTGCTCACACTGACTCCTGAAACAGTAAACCCACAAATGAATACTGGTTGTCAAAGAAGTGTGGTGAGCATTGTTCTAGGCAAGTTATAGTCTCTGAACTTGTAAAGGGATATACATTACAAAGTGAGAAATACAACTTTACTGGTGAAAGAATAAAGGCAAATGTGGTGCCCTTGCAACCAATTTCACAGAACAAACAAACACAGGCAACACCAATCCTGCTTTCTTGCTGGATGCTTCCTGGTGCTTCTGTCAGCATATAATCCTGAGCATATCTGAGTCTATGTGATAAACTTTTTATTATTTCTAAGGCAATTGTTAAAACTGACTAGCTTTAAACTCTGGGAGAACTGTTATTTGGTATGTAAATTTTATGTAATTAATTCTCAATTATCTGAGAATTAGTAGAGTAGCATATGCTAAAAATAGCCACTAATTCAAGCTCATTTAGGTAACATTAAAATGTATTCTATTAAAAGGAAGGAAGGAAAGAAGGAAGGAAGGAAGGGAAGAAGGAAGGAAGGGAGGGAGGAAGGAAGGAAGGAAGGAAGGAAGGAAGGAAGGAAAGAAGGAAAGAAGGAAAAGAAAATGGGGTTGGAGAGATGGCTCAGTAGTTAAGATCTCTGACTGCATTTCCAGAGGACACAAGTTCAATTCCCAGCACCCACATTGGCAGCTTACAACTGTCTGTAATTCCAAGATCTGACACTCTCCCATAAACATACAGGCAGGCAAAACACCAATACACATAAAATAAAAACAAAAAGTACTCTGAGGCTCACATTTCAATATATATATGCATCAGAGTTCCAGAATTTACCAGGTTCCAAATAAAACAAACTATGCCATACACCCCTGTTCAGAAATAATGACAGAGCTGGTCTGCTCTTTACAAAGGGTTATTCTCTTTCCCCACATGTTTCTCTTCCCCTCTCCCTTTCAGAATAAACATAGGTTAGTCTTTGGTTCACAGCAGAATAAACATAGGCTAGTCCTTGGAACCAGCAGAAGAGACACTGTCCCCATAATTGTTTGCCACATGTCTTTCAACAGCTCTGAATATTAGTAAAGTAAATGAATGTTTTACCTTTAAAAACAAGAACCCATAAAGGTTGTCGCATTAAGTAAACAAAAACAGAAATAAGCACTGCCAAGCAAGAAAGCATTTTCTTTAAGCACAAAAAAACATTACGTAGACCCAAGGAAGCACAATTCATTATGAAAAACTCACAATGTAAAAAGCCTCCTGGTGTGTTATTGGGAGATGATTTATATATTTTCATGGCTGCTTTTCATTTTCTGGTTGTATTTTTTGTAATCAGGAAGTGCTAAGGGTTATTTTAAAAAACAAAAACATAGGATGTGTCTCTGTGGTTCTGAATGATATGTACGCACTCCACGGGCTTATTAAAGGTTCGAGTAGACTAGCAGGGTCCTTTGTTTTCAGAAGCAGAATGCCCAGTTCCTGTCCTTAATAAATAAAGGAACACAGGCAGGATAAGCAGCAGAGAGTCTAAGCCACCTGCACAAAACAGCTCCTTCAGTTTCCGAGGCAAGGAGTTCTTAAATAAGTGCATTGTTCTGAGCAGTCCTTCTCTATAGTCAAATAAATTCAACTTCAATTTTCTGTCATTCAGCATGACATTGGATTATGAGGCGAAAGGCCCTGAATGACTAGGAAGAGAAAGGCAGCAGTGGCTTCAAACACCATGCAGATGTAAGGCGGAGCCCATGGAAACAATCCAGAATTTACAACAGCACATTCTATGATGATGTGACTGCGGTCTTTGCAGATATTAAATAAGAAGCAAATGATTTTAAATGAACAAAACCAAAAGAGAGAGCTCTTAGCCTCTCTTCAATATGAAGCAGCTGCTTGCTGGATAGCATTACACAGGCACCAGATTTGCAGTAATTAGTCATTTGAAAGAATCCTGTGATTCTGAAAGGCTTTGAGAAACTGCACATAAAAAAGGTATTCATGGTTAACTATTTTATAGGAAGATAGAAAGCTTTAATAGTCACTTGGAAAGTATAATAATAGGCATAAGATAAAATCAGAGAAAACAATAAATATACCTCAAAAGGGTAGAAAGAAGTTTCAAGCTTAAAAACTCCTAATATAAAGAAACTACATGCAATCTTAAATTTTGGTTCAAAGTGCTGTTTTGGGGGGAAAAATATAATTCAAGGTTCAAGTAGCAAGATGGAAGAATAAACAAGCATAAAGGCATTCAAAAACACAGGGTAAAAAATTTAAATTTCTAATGTTTGATTTGACAGTTGCAATTTCAAAGATCAGATGAAATGCAGCAGGTTCAGGGGGGGTTGGCCATAGATGGCAGTCTCAATTTTAAAGGGTTAACATGACCTCACAGGTGATTCTGAGTCACAAAAGTTATTCGTCTCAACAATAATAAATGAATTTCAAGCATTAAAAAAAAAAATCCAATGGCTCTAAAAAAAACTTTTGATGTTAGAAATAAAGAAACCCAAGCTAACTCTAAAGCTTCTAACACAATTCAAACTTAATATTCCAGAGGTGCTGAGCATGCGTGTTAAAGCCACACTGCCTAGCTTCAAACCC